GGGCTATACACACAGCCCAGGTATGAAGAATAGGCAAAGGTTTTCAATGAATTTCACATTTTAAATCATGTGTGATACACACTTGTCATATGTTAGATTTTATGCCTTTTCCAAATATATCATTGCACTGGGTGTCTTGATGAAGCATTATGTGTTACGCCAATCTTCAGTTGCCACACCTAAGAAAGGCTAACTGATCCTACAGACTTCCTACTGAATGACAATGGTGCAGAAGAGAGGTTGGTAGATTATATGTGGTTTTCCTTTGAATTTAGCAGCACATGTCAGTTAAAGGAAGAATAGACAGTGATGGACAACATGATGGCCCAGTGAGTAAAAGCACTTGCCTCCAAGCCCGATGACCCGAGCTCAATCCCTGGACCCTGCATGATTGAAGAAGAAAGCTTACTTTTGCAAATTATATTCAATTCTCAATACACGCACACACACATCCACACACATGCATACAATAGAAGACAGACAGACAGACAGACAGACAGACAGACAGACAGACAGACAGACAAATGGATGGATAATTTAGAAGAATGGACACTAAGAATATGCATGACCAAATCTTTTTCATAATAAGAGCTGAAAACTCCAAGAGGGTAAAAACACGGCCCAATATAATGTTATGGTTTTCTCCTAAGATACACTTGAAAATATTTTAATTCATCACTAGGGAGAATCACAGGCTAGGGTAAACAAGAGGCGTTGCTTCTTCCACCCATAGTCACCTATTGTCCCCGACTGGCAGTCTCACCTCCTTGGCCTCCTCTCCTCAGGTCCCAGTCCCTGGTGGCTTGCTCTTGGCAGAGTGAGACTGAAGATAATGTGATCTTTCTGATGAAATCTGTTCCCCCACCCCCACCCCACGACAGGAAGCCAAGATGTGAACATGGCCCCTCATAATGATTTCACTGGGCTTAATGAAATTTTCATCACAACCTGCTGCTCATTTTAATGGCCTCTGAGAAACAATGGACAAATGTCTGGAGGAGAGAAAATACGCCTAGCACTTAGCTCTGTTCCCTCCCTGCTCCTCGTGCCTTTCCACGGCTCCTTTCTCCACAGAGCTGCAACAAGGGCTTGTAGTTCTCCAACCAACACACTTTACATTTTCCCCTTCATGCTGATTACTAAATATTTTGTCTTTTTGATCTAGGCAATGAGAGAGCCTCAGCTCACATGTGTGTGCTCTACCCACCATCACAGTCCCTTGTGTCTGGGGGAGAAGACGGGTATGAGGGGTCAGTCTCAGACATGGCCAGTACTGATGTCTCAAAGGCAGAGCTTTGAGTTGCTGGGAGACCTACAATCTCTTAAGACACAGGTTTTGCATGCTTTTCTCTTTGAAATCCATATTGTTTCTTCCTGAGTAAGAATGTGGCTTTTCTCAGATATAAATTACTTCTTGATGAGCATGTCAGTTGTTTCAGTCACTGAATGTGCATTCTTGAAAGTTGCATGAGGGCTCACGCCTGAAATCCCAGCACTCAGGAGACTGAGGCAGGAGGACCGTCATGAAGTTCAAGCCAGCCTGGGCTGCACACTGAGCCTAGGTGAACAGACGAAAATACGAGACCATGCCTCAAAATAACAAAGTATGTAAAAATGCATACACATTATCACCAGGGCAAATTACCAGTAAGAGTGCATCCGTGGCTCTGGATACTCAAAGCAAGCTCCAGGAGCTTGCATGTGTGGGTGTAAAGGCTTCTTCATGCTCTGCCACACAGAGATGGTTTCTGAAACTCCAGAGCGAGGGCATGAGCCCATGGGTCTCTACATCTGCATGTGTCAGTATGCATCCATGTTTATGTGTGAGTGTGGTGCATGTGTGAGTTTGGTGTATACACAAACACACAGCTTTATTGCCCATACATGCACAGAGGCCAAGAGAAGACAGCACCAGACTTTCACTCTCTGGAAACAGAAGCTAGGCTGGTGGCCACCAACCCCAAGTACCTTCTTATCCATGTCCCCTTCAGCACTGGGCTTACAGACACACATGTGACTCCACCCAGTGTGGGGGAAGTGGTGACTTCTAGATGGTAGGTTCCCGCATTTGCACAGCAAGTGTTCTTACCAGCTGAGCCACCTCTCTAGCCCAAAGTCAGACTTTTTAGTTCTTGTCTTGTTCAGTTTAAATTCTCACAATCTTATTTAATAACACATTCCTCCTTCTCTGGGCATTTAAGTTTTTAAGAGGAAGAAATATATTAAAGGGCATTACAGACAAAGATAACAGCAAGGAAAGCCTTCATATTCAGTAATGCTGTTTCCTTGTGCCAGTTCTTCCTGCTAAAACATCCATCTTTGCTCTTCTGGAGTAGCTGCTCCTGGGAATTCAGCAGCTCCTACAATGCCCAGGGCTCCCCTGTACCTTTTGTCAGGTACCTGTGGGTACCTCCTGCTGCTATCTTTGCCACAGAGATTTGTTCATTGGGTTTAGGCCTCTCATCTACTTCCAAGTTCAGAGGTTATGCATCTATTGTCAGTCAGATCAATACAGTGGAAGGATGACAATGTCATGCACCAAATTCCCTTTAATAGTATCATCTAAAGATGCCCTCTTTGGACTAGAACATACAGAGAAAACTGGGACTCATTAGCCCTTATTGCTTTCAGAATATATCAAAAGGTGTGACTATAAATTACTTATGTGAGGTAAACATTTCCCAACTCCTTCTATGAAGTCCGTATTGATATTAGGAATGTGCAAATTATGAACTAACGGACCTAAATGTAAACACCTTCAACAAAGTCTAAGCAAGTAAAATCTCAAATGAGATCAAGGGAACTAAGTGTGGCCCAGTTGGAGTTATTGGAACTTTGCTAGGTGGTTTAATGTTTGAAAATCTCTTTGGGAATTTAAAGATCAACAATTGTGTGTATATTACATTAATAGGTAAAATTTTAAACTCCTAAGATATGCATTTGGAAACTGTAAGAACCCAGATTTTAATAACTAAGAGAGATTCTTGTGCTCATGGATGAGAACAGTCAATGTTTTTAAGATACGGCATCTTCCTTTATTCTGTGATCTACAGACACAATCCATTCTCATGAAATCCACATTATTCTTTGGATATATGAAAACTGATTTCAGAGTTCTTGGAGAAAGAAAATAGACTCAGATTAAGCCATAAAATCCCAAAGAAAAGGAAGAAAACTGGAAGAATGACACTATCCAAGGGAAGCCATGGTCATTAAGACAGCATGGTATCACAGAATGGATGATAGTCCAATGATTTGATGGATCGGAACACAGAGGGCAGAAGAAAACACACGATAGTCCAGTCACCCATCTTTGCAAAGAGTCAAGCATCCGGTGAATAGGGATCATCTTTCAGTAAATTGTGCTGAACAACTAGACACTCTGATTATACAAAAATGAAAGGAATAAGACATAGAACCTAACCTTTAAAAGATTAACTCAAAAGGGTTCCCAGATCTAAAGTATATAATGCAATATACAAAGGTGTAGAGTATAGTGTAAGAAAATTTTCTTAGACTCTCCATGATCACTTACACAAATCGAAAGTATAATTCATGAACAAAATGACAACTTGGAATCCATTAAAATTAAACTTTTTTGCATAAGAAAATACTATGAATGAAAATACTAACCACAGACTGGGAGAAAAGGTTTGTCAATAGATTTCTGATTCAAAACTGGTATCCAAAATATATAGAGATCTGTCAAAAGTCATCTGTATTAGAAAGACTCAATAAAGGTACCAAAGCACTGAAAAGGCACTCCCCCAAAGACACAGAGATGTAAAATAAACGTATGGAGAGATCTGAACATTGATGCCATTGGGGAACAGCAAAGTAAACCAACAACGAGCAATGCATAGCTATGCGAATGAACGGAAATCCCCAAACATGACCGTGCCGAAGGCTGAGAGGGACGTGAACAAGCAGGGATCTCCCTTTAGTGACAGCAGGAAGGAACATTTGTGGACACTTTGCAGACAACTTGGCAGTTCCTTATAAAGTCAAGCAACAGCTTCCAATACACTTGGCCATGATGCTCCCGAGACCTGAAAATGCACTGGCTGTCATAGACGGCATGGCAGACATGACTTACAGTCAAAGTGCATCTTCTCTCCCCTGTCTTTGTTGGTTTGCTCACTTGGATCGTGCAGCTGATGAAGAGAGCCACTCTCGTGTGCTGAGTGGCTTCTGCACCCCAACAGGGTAAAACTGGAACAAGTCACCATCTGGATCTAACCTTGGACAGGTGAGCAAGGTTTTTTTTTTGTTTTTTTTTTTTGCCTTTGTTTGATTTACTTTTAAGAAAACCCTTGCACATATACATATCAAGTTCGGGAGGCTATCAGTAACTATGAAAGAGTTTTAGAGCTGGAACCCAAAAGGAAAGAATTCTAAATGTCCAAAAATGGAAGGCTGAGTGGGGCTACTTCTATATAATTATAATCACATATTTTATGATCTATATAAGGGGTGGACCTAAGATCAAGGTGGGATAAGATATAATGCTATTTAAAGGTTACAAATGCAACACAATTCTAAAATGGTTCCTGAGGGGGGAAATTTACTAGAGATGTACAGTGCAGGCTGCAGATACGTGACAAGTAGGAGGATCTTCTGGGCGATGCTGCGGCGTTCTATTCTTGAATCTTTAAGTTTCACTCAAGTATAACTTACTCATGTATAAAAATAAGGCTCACACTGCAACATGAATTTATGATTTTAAAAAATCTTAGTATCTCTGAGAAGAAAGGAAGGAGGAAGGAAAGAAGGAAGGAAGGAAGGAAGGAAGGAGGGAGGGAGAGAGGAAAGGGAAGGGAGAGAAGCAGGGAAGGAAGGAAGGAAGGAAGGAAGGAAGGAAAAAGGAAAGAATAATCTTCACAGCCATAGGTTTCTATTTTGTTCAACTTAAGAATCTAAAGCAAACCTCAGAACTAGAAGCTAAATCAAACTCCTTAAACCAAACTGGGCATGTCACAGTTTCCTTTCCCAGCCTTTACCTTCCGGCTCATTCTTGATGAGCTCTTCCATCTTCCTCTGCTTTAAGGTGTCCACCACGTCCGCTAAGCTGCCCTTGCGCCGCTCCGGAGTCCCCAGGGCTGTGCTAGACACGGACTCGCCACTCTGTCGCCCACCTTCTTCTGCCTTCTGAGGTGAGGTAGATGAGTTGTATGGGGCTAATGAAGACATAACTTTATTGCCATCGACTTCCTAGAAGAGAAAGCAAAGAAGGGTGGGTGATTTAAAATTCAGTAAGGTTTCTTTGGGGGAGAAGGAGCTCTGTGGCTTAATCTGTAGACATGTAAAAATGTGAGCTGTCACTCTGTAAGAGCAAGGAGCAAAGAAAAACTTAAAAACACTGTCTTCACTTTGCAAGCCAGCACAGAAGTGAGTCACGGATTGCTGTACAGGCACAACCCAAACAGGAGGCCATGAAGGGAGGCAACAAGTTCTTAAACTCAGCGGCAGTGTGGTCCTCCTACTACCTTGGCTTTTGTTGAAGGTCTCAGCTGGTAGCATGAATATTAGATGGAGCTGTCAACCGCATTCAACTTCCTGGGGACAGGAGAATGTTTAAACAAATCCCATATACGTTTGTACCTTGTCTTTATCTTCAGCTGACTCGTCTTCATTGTCCCCTAAGTGGCACCGGGTCTCCCTTGGTGCCCCTCCCCCTCTCAATCTTCCACAACAGCCCCCCCACACTGGAGTTCTTCGGTGGAAGCTTTCCCCACAGGGCTCAGTGCTTGAAGCCTGGTCTCTGGCCCCTCCCCTGCATTTCACTTGTAGCATCAAGCACCATGTTAACCAGTTCCCTCAAGTTTTGCTTCTTTGTAATTATCTACTCTTGAGGGACTCTATTCTTTGTTCAAACACTTTGTGTTTTTGTCTTCTCTTATCTTTTCTCTCCCAAATTTCAAGAGCAAACTTGTGACATTTGTAACGCACAGGGTATATTTTGTGTCAAAGATATTTCAGGCATTTTTAAAAGGAATGAAGCTGGAATGATAAACAGTTTTCTTGCTTAAGGGTTTTCCCTGGGGTCATCACTTGTGCCCATAGTCCTTTGAGTTCCCACAAAGCAGAGTGCTGTTATGAGCAAAACTGTGCCATCCAGTTTTGTGAGTTTCACTCTGATTATATTTCTCATTTGTATGGCATGGAAGGTCTCCTTGAAAATACGAGCAAGTGTGAGCAAATAGAATATATAAAAGCATACACTATGCCTGCTGGGGCCTTCGTTGTCTGTGTAAGAGTTGTAACAAATGTAACGACTGTGTAACAAATGACACTGATAACCTCATTCTTTTAAAATTAAGGGTAATATTGGCTACCTTAAGTATACTCAATTGCTGGGCTAAAATCTTGTCATCTCAATCCCTGGAAATAATTATCAACATAATCATTGTATGTTAATATGATTTTGAACTAACAGATGTTAGTGGGAACAGGGTCATTAGCTGTAGGAGAAATACCAGTTTGTTGGATGGGCTGAGGCTTGTGAAGAAACACAAGAAGAAAAGGAAGGGAGACAGGATGCATGAGGAAGAGGAGGAGGGGGACATGCAAGGTAACAAAACCTTCTGAATCACAACCCTAAACCCCAAATAGCTTAATCCCAAGTGGCTTCCCTTTCCCGCCATCACAGAAGACACCTCTTAAACTCTGAGGGAATATTGTATGCAAACAATTTAGTTTCTGATGATATTTGGTTTGGGATATAGTATACAGTCATTGCATGCCCTTGGAAGGAAATTGCATGCCCACCCTTGGAGTTATTTATTTAAAAAGATACATAAATATAAGCACACAGAGAAACAGCACACACCGTCTCCTTGGAGTCAGAGAACTGAATACTTCATCCAGGAAACTAAAAACAATGTTTCTCATGAACAGCCCGCAGTACACAGCATCACAATACAGAATGCAGCAAAAAACATTTATATTCATTGCTCACTAAAAATTTTCCATTTTGTCTTCCTCCATGATCAAAGCAAACACACCTCACCTAAGGCTTCACCCTAAGTACACCCGTGTGTGCCTGCTTCTCACATTCAAGCACGGAGAACTGAAGAAACAAGAACACTGAGCTGACCGGTCACCACACACCTTTCTATGGCAGGCCATCCCGAGAGAGGATGGCTCCCACACTTGCATACAATCAGGCACAAGAGATCAGAAATTCCTTGCCAAGGAAGCATCCCATTTTGTACACCTTGCATACTGGAAGTTGATGTTTTGAAAGGTTTAACCTACATCACAAGGGTTCTGAATTCAGGTGCCACGGCAGGCCAGACTTAAAGAAAATTCATGAAGCATTGCTGCTATTTCACACAGGACTCCAAGTCACCTGTCAGATGACCTTTTAGCCATCAGCACTGCTAATTCCTTTGACGGTGGCTAACAGATGTTTCAGTCTGGGACTCCGTTGTTGTCTGCATGATGAGAATCTCACTGGGGAAGAGCTGGGTGAGCCTCTAGTCAAGAGAGTCTTAAGCTCCAGTTTCTTCCTGAGATTGCTTTTGCCATATGTAAAACATGGTTACATGTTTCTCTTCACTCTGATGGCATCTGAACCCTGGATACTCAACTTCCAGAAGCACAAAAGGGCCAGCATAGCCATATGAGTCTAATCTACTCCTGAAACCTGAGAGTTTCAGGATTTTGCAGACAAATGCACACAACTGTGAGGTGCGCTATACTGTGCAATGATGCCAGAGTGAGCAAATCTCTGAAGGCATTTGGTGGTTTTTCCCTTTGCTACTTGTCATCCTTGCAAGCAAGAGAATAAGAAATAGTGTGCTCAACATAAGCCCCTCATTGAGATGCCCTTGTGAAAACACACTTCACTCTTCCTAAAGACAGCATTTCACTATAAATACTTGAAGGAAAATGCTGTGTCTTATATTTAAGTGTTAATTTGGGTAATGAGAAAGTATTACTTCATTTGAAAGAAGGACTGTATTAATGTAATTCAACCACATCCAAAGAGCGCTTCATCCTTAGTTTTTGATCTTATAAGATGCATTACGTTACTTAGGTTTTGATTCTATATGTGGAAATTAAATTCAAACATGGTAGTAAAAAACATTATATTTATATCCCATTTGTTAGCCTATAATAATAACTGGATTGCTATGTCAAGCATTTTAAAGAGTTTTACATGCCTAAGTTTAATCTTTATGGTAGAACTAATTATGATTTCCAGTTTATAGAGAAACTAAGGGACTCAGGCTGGGGGAAATTACTGAGGTCATTAGAACACTGAATAATGAGAAAACCTAGTGGGCTTCAGAATTCTTACATCTAACCTTAGCCATAACATGCTTTTTTTCTCAAAAAATTAAAATAATTGCTTATCTATCACATGTGATCAAGATAGACTATCCTCTTCCTAATAATTATGAAAACAGCATTTCCTTCTAATACATTCACCTTCTGTAGAAGAAAAATTCTTTCAAATTAGTTAAAACACTCCAGACTTATAAATCCGATTTATCCTTCTAGCCAATGAAATTAAAAATGAACTTTAACATTTAAACAACGATATGAACTCAGCATGACTTTCTTCCCTAACTAGTTGATCAGAGTGAAAATGATGGGTAGTTTGTGTTTTTAAAGCTATCTATAAATACTGTCTGTCCCTCTTGTTTCGGCGAACTAAAACTTCAAATGCAGAAGAAGCAACAGAGAAGGCCTGAATGACTATTGATTTTAGTGCCATCAAAACCTGTCTCTAGTCTCTTGACTGTGGGGTTCCAACAGCACCACCATCAAGTGACAACAGAGGTGTCCTGCTTGACAAGGTCAAGCTAGCGATGAGTAGTCCCATAAAACTCACCAACGAATACTAGAACAAGGCTTAAAAACCTATCTCAATGCCTACTTTGTGCATTTATTCTTTAAACGATGCTTAAAAGAACAAGATCACTCATACATACCTTCTTAGTGTGTAATGGATTGTCACCCTAATCATCTACCTTGTCAGGTACGGTAATGAAGGCCTCACGCAGACCTTCATTTAAATATTTACAGCACTTTCTTTGGTTTGACTTCTTTGCAAAGTTTTCTCATGAACAGTAGCCTGGGCTTGGTTTCTCTTAAGTTACAGACTTCTGGGAGCGCGCTTAGGCTTCTCTCCAGAACACAATCTTAAGTTACAGACTTCTGGGAGCGCGCTTAGGCTTCTCTCCAGAACACAAACTCTGGGTGTACACAAGCACACTTCTGCATTCACACATGTCATTCCGCCATGATTTTAGCGAGTCCATTTCCCATTGCTGTTATTCCAGTATCAGTCTTCTCCCAAAATCTCCCGCAACTCCATGAAAAATGGATCGCTGGGTGGAAAGCACTGATCTAATGCATTGTCCCAGGAAGCCCCTCATGTAGATAGATGTTGATGTTAAAAGTTAAACGATCAATTAGTGTAAAAAACTATAACAAATGGGTTGGGAATGGTGGTTCATGCCTTCAATTTCTGCATTTTGGGGTCAAATGCAGCTAGATTTCTATGAGTAGCAGGACAGCCCTGTCTACATCATTTGTTCAGAATAAATAGATAAACAGATAATCATGTATGTGTGTGTCTACACATACAGAGATATAAATCTGATTATATATTTATTATCTATATATCATCTCTCAATCTATCTTTTACCTATTAACTGTCATCTGTCTTCTGTTATAGATCTGTCTTATCTAACACCCACATATCAATCCACAGATGGAAGAGATGCTAATGTGCACTCATGGACTTTGTGGTTTTGCTACACAACCCTCAGAAAACTCTGTTTCAAGCCCCGTGATGACTCTGGAAGAACACTGCACTGGCTAATCTTCACTGTCAACTCTGGGTGTCTCCGTGAGCCTTTAAGTGAGCAGTGAAACCACCGAGCATGGAAGACTCACTTTGAATGTGGGAAATGAAATTAATGGGGTGAAGAGTTGGCCTGAATAAAAACGGAGAAAGACAACGGAATATCAGCACTGAAAAGTGGAAGACACAGAGAAATAGCCACATTTTTTCTCTCTCTCGCTCTCTCTCTCTCTCTCTCTCTCTCTCTCTCTCTCTCTCTCTCTTTCTGACTCCTGCCTTGGACTGCGATGACATCATCTGCCTCATGTTCCCATCACCAGGAAAAACATGTAGTCACTTGACCTGTGACAAAAAAGGAATAATAATAAGAATAATAATAACAATAATAAAA